AAGAAGAAAGGAGAAGGAAGGGGAAGGGAAAAGAAGAAAAGGAAGGAAGGAAGGAGAAAGAATGAAGAGGAAAGGAAAAAGCAAAGGAAGGAAGGAAGAGATTTGGACTGGAGGCACCTGACGGTGCCCAGATGTCCAGCCCAGCTCCTGGGCGATGCCAGGTGCCCACCCTCAAATTGGTGAGGGGGCTTTTAAAAACTATTTGCGTGGGGGAGGGGGAGGGGGCTCAGAGTGATTTGGGATATTGGGAGGTTTGGGGCTGAGGGGCTTGCATTGCCCAGCTTGACCTGTTGGATTTCTTCCCCAGACAAATACGCCATCCGCTTCATCCCTCACGAGAACGGCGTCCACTCCATCGACGTCCGGTTCAACGGGCGGCATGTGCCGGGCAGCCCCTTCAACATCCGCGTGGGGGAGCAGAGCCAAGCGGGAGACCCTGGGCTCGTCACGGCCTACGGCCCAGGCCTGGAGGGAGGAACCACAGGTAAGGCCCTGCCAGGTGAGTGGGGTGGGATGAGGGGGACAGGTAGGGGCTTCAGGGAGGCTCTGGAACAGGGAGAGCAGGCAGGTGGAGCATTGAATGCCAGGACCTCCCCAAGTTCCCTCTCTCTTCCCTCCTTCTCTCGTTTCCCTCCTTCCTTCCTCCTCTCTCTCTCTCCCTAAATTCCTTCCTCCCACCCTCCCTCCCCCTCCCCCCCCTCTTTTTTCCCTTTCCTCTTTTCCCTTCCTTTCTCTCTCCCCTCCCCCTTTCCTTTCCTTCCTCCCTCCCTCCCTCCCTCTCCTCCCATCCACTCTCCTTCCCTCTCCTTTTTCCTTCTTTCCCCCGTCCCTTCCTCCTATCCTCTCTTTCCCTTCCTTCCTCTTTCCTTTCTCCTTCCCCATCCCCTCCTTCTTCCCTCTTTTTTTCCTTCCTTCGTGCCCTCCCCCTTTCTCTCCCTCTCTCCCTTCCTCCACCTCTCCTTTTTCTCTCCCTCCCTCTTCCTTCTTCCCCTTTTTCCTTCTTTCCTCCATTCCCCTCCTCCTCTCCTCTTTCCCTTCCTTCCTTTCTCTTCCTTCTTCCCTCCCTCCTTCCTTCCTTCCTTCCTCCTTCCTTCCTTCCTCCTTCCTCCCCTTTCCTTCCCTCCCCTCCCCTTTCCCTCCCTTTCCCTTTCTTCCTCTTCCTTCTTCCCTCCCCCCCTCCTTCCCCTCCTTTTTCTCTCCCTTTCCCTCCCTCCCTCTCCCCTTCTCTCCCTCCCTCCATCTCCCCCTTCCCCTTTTTCCTTCTTTCCTCCCCTCCTCTTCCCCTTCCTTCCTTTCTCTTCCTTCTTCCCTCCCTCCCTTTTCCTCTCCCTCTCTGTCCCTCCCTTCTCTCCCTCCCTCTCCTTCCTTTTTCTTTCTTTCCTCCCCTCCTCTTTCCCTTCCTTCCTTCCTTCCTTCCTTC